ACATCTATATCTGTTTTTGAAAATAAAAATCAACCAGCATATATTATATTTTCTATTTATTATTTTCAGAGATAGATTTAAAAACAAAAAAATATAGATAAATAATACGTGTATTTTTTTCAATGCAAAAAAGATATTCAAGTTGAAAACTTTTTTTCAACAGAATATTTAAACTCTCTTTTAATTGAAAACACAAAATCTTATAAATAAGTAGGGGTGCTCACGGTTTGACAGTTTGGTTGCAGCCAAAGGAATCTCAAATCCGCCATCTGTCTGCTAGATTGGCGGATTGGAGAAAATCAATCCGTAACCGTCCGCTTATCATCATGCATCCGTCCAAAATGCAGCGAATCGATTGGGTTCAGTTCGGTTCGGTTCGGTCGATTTTGACTGATTGGTATAGGGGTGAGCATGGTCCGGATTGAGGTAAAATCAGGACCAATCCGTTATCTACGGTTCCTGAAAAATTAGAACCAATCCAATCCGTTTAAATCGTGGAACCAATCCGGACCAATCCATTTAAGTACGGATTGGATCGGTTTAGGACTACGGATTTACATATTTAAATAACAAAATATATATATATAACACTTTAATTTCATAAAAATATAAATATAGCACCATATTAGTTTCACAATAGTAACATGTCTTTTCATAATAGCGACATACTGTTCTAAAATTTAAACAATCATAAGAAAACTGGTTCCACCATAAGTATTTAGACCATTACAAATTAACAATAAAAACTAACAAACAAAAGTAATAAAAGAAGATACTATGCGAGTTTAGGTTTAGATTTAAGTTTTATATGAAACAAGAGAAGATACTATGTAGGAGAGTGTATAATAAAAATATAGACTATTTATATACGGTCCGAATCAGTTCCAATTCAGAATCGTGGGGTTCAATCCAGAACCAATCCGTGAACTATGGATTTTTAATTTTTCAATCCGGAACTGAACCAGGGATTTAAAAAATCAATCAAAACCTACTGGATTGGACTGGACTGAATCGGATTACGGATTTCATAAATTTCTTGCTCAGCCCTAGATTGATATATCCGCTGCTTACCCCTAAATAAGATTATACGTTATGTTCAGTTTCTTAAAATAAAAAAAAAAAAAAAAAAAAAAAATTGGACACGCTTGAAGTGGTGAGTGCACACCAGTTACGCTCACTCACAATCATGCATTCCGCGTTAAGGGGCACTTTTTTCTCTCATCATCACATGTTACTTGTTAGCATCTAACTTAACTTTCGATTAAGATGGGAGATGAATTTTTAATTTTTTTAATTTTAGATTTAAAATTTTTATTTGAGATGAATTTTTTGATTTTTATAAGAGAAAAAATTAAATGATTATAGTTTGAATATGATATTTTATTTTATTAACTTTCTAATTATTTTAATTTTTTTAAAAATAACAAAAAAATTTAATGCCAAACGAAACCTAGTTCCTAGAATAAAATAATAAACATGAAAAATGAAAGCGTTACTAATTAACTAATTAATTAAACAAAAGCATAAAAGAAAAGTCTATTTTGGAAAGTGAGTTAAAAGTTACTTCTCAATTTTTAATCCATTTCTCTCTCTCACAAAAAAATTAAAAAAAGTCAAAAAGTAATTTTTAACCATCCCCCAAAACATCCCTAAGTGATTGAAAACGCATACTTTTTATATACATTTGTTAAACGCCTTAATCAAAATTGAAAAATTATTTCATAATTCAAATATAATGTTTTTGACTAATCATAAATCAATATATTTTTTGTTTTTCTTTAATTATTCACGCAAAATCATGAATTCTACCTTATTTATTAATCACAATATACCTGGTGCATAGTGCCTGGCACCACCAAATAACTTCTCATTATACCCTCTCCACCAGTTGTGCTTGTAAGACAAGATTTGGGAACTATTACTTGCGTGTCCAAAGCTTTTTCAACTTCAACATTAATGGCCTTGTTTGGCAAAGGTTATTGTTTGCTTTTTGGATTAAATATTATAAAAAGTAAAATAATTTAAAATAGTTAATAAGATAAAATGTCATATTAAATTTGTAATTATTTTATTTTTTTCTTACAAATATTATATCTAACTATAAAAAAATTCAATCATTTTTCTAAATACAAAAATTTTAACCTATTAAAATTACCAAAAATTAAAATAACATACTAAAATAGCAAACTTTACAAACATTCACAATAAAAAGCTAAAATGGGAACAGTTTAGCCAACAAAAAGTTTTTGGTTTCACGGAGCATTTATTATCTGATATTCAAATGGAGGACAATATGTAAAATGACAATTGGTCATTAATTTTTTTATTTTTTATTTATTTTAATAGGTATGAAATTATTTATAAATATTAAGAAAATTATATTAAATTAGATAAAATCATCTGTGGCTTCATTGATTACAGTTTGAAAGCCAATTTATTAGCCTACAATATGGAGCATTTAGGTGTGATTTGGTTTGGTCTTTTCACCGATTTTTTAATTTTTTACTTTTTGAGATAAAAAAATTAATTATTTAAAAATAATTTTTGTAATTGTATGAAAAAATGTCAACTTCCCAAATAATCCCTTAAGGTCCCGTTTGTTTTCAGAAATAGAATTGAGGGGATTGATAATGAAAAGATTGATAGTGAGGGGATTAAGTAAAATTGTATTTGTTTTGATGATAATTATTAGTGTAGGAATTGTTAAATTATTTTTATATAAAATAAATATAAAATAATAAAACAAATAAAAAATACAAAAATATTAAACATTAATGTTTTTAAAAAAATGCCCAACATGTAAAAAAATTTTAAAAAATAAAAATAAAATAAAAAATTTTCAAAAAAAATAAAACAAATAAAATAATGATTTTTACTTAACAAAAAATACAAAAAATTAAATATTAATGTTCAAAAAAAAAATGCCGGACATGTAAAAAATAAAATAATAAATAAATAAATTTTTTTTTTCTAGTCTGCCGAATTATTTTTCTAATACCAAGTTCTGGAGGCTCATCCGAATCCCCTTAGGGAGGCCCATCCTAATCCGGAGCTCACTATCAATCCCCTCTCCATCTCTCAAAACAAACACAATATTAATAGGTCCTACTTCACTACTAATCCCAATCCCCCCTCTAACTCTCCAAACAAACGGAACCTAAGAGTAATATTAGAGATATCAAAAATTCCATTAAAATTTTTACCAAATGTCTATGAGATCCAAATAATATAGGTCTCACGTGAGTTTTATACTCATGTAAGACATTTGATAAAAATTTTAATAGAATTTTTAGAGGTCTAACATTTTTGAATCCATTATTTTATTATGTGATGATATCCACGCAGAAAATAATAAGGAAAATGACAATTGGTCATTGATTTTACGGTCCCCCCCCCCCAAGTCCCTGATAGATTATTTACAAATATCAAGTAAATTATATTAAACTTGACAATTAACTATGACGTCATTGGTCACACACAACTTAAAAGTCAATTTATTGACTAATTTTTTTAGTTTATTTAACAATTTTTGCGTCAAAAAGCCCACTCCAATATTTTTAAAAGGTAATCATAAAAGCCCCACACATAACCGAAAAAAAAAAGAGAAAAAAGTATCATACAATTACTAACCTAGGATTCCTAAAATTTGTTCCTTAAAATGAGTGTAAATTTTAGATGAAGACAACTCGTTTTATCTTTCCCACTTCCTTTTAAGACCTTCCCTTCAATATACACACTCCATAGATGGTAGCAACTTTAGGGGTTGTGTGGTTGAATCATAAATTTAGCAAAGAAAATAGAAAAATGTGAGAAGAAATAAAACAAAAATTTAACTTATATTTTATTTATATATATTTTTTTTCACTTTTTTCATTATGTTTTCTGGTTCTTACCAAAATATATGATCCAAATACAACATAAGAATAATGTTAATTAAGTTGAAGTGTGGCAAAATTTATTAAATAGTTCAAAGTATCTAGGAAGGTCATGTGCATGTTGTAATATTGAACGCTTCATATTATTGAACAGATACCTAGTCATGTAATAAGTCGAACCAAACGTGGTTGGATATTTCTCTTTCACTAGGGTTTATGCGAGGATTTCATCAAAAATAGATTTTTGGAAATAAGATTGTAAACGAGTCGAGTCGAACCGAATTTTTGAATGTTCAAGTTCGTTTATTAAGAATTAGTCAAGCTCGAGCTCGAGCTCAAGCCTGAACCGAGCTCTAGTCGAGCTTAAAAAATCGAGCTCCAACTCGACTTGTCAAATATTTGTTGAACTCAAACTCGGCTAGAGTTCGCACGATTACATAAATGAGCTAAATTCGAACTGGAGTTTGAAAAAAAATTAAATTTAAATTGATTTACTTATTAAGATTAAAAAAAATACAAAATTATAAATAAAATATATAATAATACATTTATTAATAATAAATTTCACCAATCAAATATGTAAATTTACACAAACACCAAATATAGATAAAAAAAATAAAATAGATTATTGAAAATTTATTTAATATATTATTAAAAATAAATATTAATTTATTTATTTTTATGTTCACAAACCTTATAGAGCCAAACTTAAAATTGCTTGAGCTCCGCTCAATTAATAAATAAGCCTAAAAATCAAGCTCGAGCTTATTCATTTAGTAAAAGTTAGGCTCAAATAAATTTTAAACGAGCCAAATTTAAACTATTTATAAACAACTTAATTCGTTTAAAAACAACTTAATTCGTTTACGACCCTACTTGAAAGTAGTTAAAAAGAGGGAAAAAACATTTTTTAAAAAAATCCTGTGTTCTATCAAAGCCACATCTGTGACATCATGAAAAACCGCTTCCTCTGCCAGGCTGGATTGCATATATGACATACCATGGAAAATTCAACATCCAATAAAATAATATACATTCGCCATATTGGAGCAATCTGTAAAACTTTGTAGTAGTTTTCCAAAGGGCATTTTCACAAGAACTGACAATTCAAGTCTATCAAGTTAGTTTACAGTTTTCAAGTCTGTCAAGTTATTATCAGAAAATTCCATCCCAGTAAAGTAACCAAACACCTCCTTAGAATTCAGCAAACAAATTTACACTGTACAAGAAGTCTTCCTTCACGCCACTTCCAAATGAAAGTGAAATGAGAAATTTCATATATGAGTTACCGACATACAAACATCCCAATGAATGGGATTCAAAACGTAGTTCTGTGATACACAGTTTGTATTATGTACAACATTGGAGTGCCTTTTGTGACACCGATTGATGATCCATTTGTGACACCGATTTTGTTTCCTCGTCGTCCAATAAGAGTACAAGAAAGCATCAGCTCACAATCTTCTCCAAGGAAGGTGATGCATAGAGAGTAAGAACAAAGGCGGATTGCAGCAACAAGGATTATAGCAGAATAACAGCTACTGTAATCAGCACTGTTATTGTACAAATTGAAGCCTGCAATAGTCATCACACTTCGTGTTAAACTATATATATAAAGGGCGGACAAAAGGAGAATGTACTACTTTGTGTTGTATTATTGAAACTCCCGTAATAACCCATAGCAGCATGCCATGTCACATTACTGTTTGGATTCTGAGTCATGTCTGTTTGGCAATAGCTAAAAAAGTCACATTTTTTTCTTAACTTTTTTGTCATTAGTGATTTTTTCAGGTTTGTCTAACCTAGAAGGATCTAAAGACAAATACTGAGGTGGGTAATTGCTAGCTCAGAAAAATGTTTTCTAGAACAAAGCATGTATAAACAGTCAACATCATCTTCAATGTGAGAACAGAAAATCTACTGATAGTCCGTGACAATCCCAGAAGGACATCTTGCCCTAGTCGCATTTTACCTCTGCCCTAAAAAAATTTCAATTTCATTTATAATGATGAAGTTATAAATATTGGTACAAAAGCATGATGTATTATAGCAGAGATCAGAAATTGAACCAACGGTTTAGAGGAGATGAGTAGTAAATAGATGCAACTCCTGAATGTGCATGCGTGCAAGATAATAAAATTAATCCATGGGGAATAAGAATGGAAGGGTCCTTTCCCCAATGCCAAAATCAAAATGGAGAAAAATACACTTATGAACAAATAAACACGAGCAAGACACTTACAGCAACTGCATTAGCAGCAAGTCCTCCTCGTTCCCTGGGATCCTTGTGGTAGTATTTCCCGAAGTAAAGAATTGTGGCATAATACCACATCAGTGGAAACACAAACCCAAGCAGAAAACTGTTAAAGGAAGATATAAGTGCATGTCGGGGGGGGGGAAGAAGAAGAAGAAGAAGAAGAAGTGGGAAACTCACGAGAACCATCCTATTCCACAGCCACAGCAAGGAAGGCGTTTGTCAAACTTTCCCAATTGGTTATTTTCCACATCTCTTATAAGGACGTAGTTTCCACTCTGTTGCTCCCTGACATCAGTTGATAACCCTGTGTTCATGAAAAAGCTATCAATCACCTAGCCTAGTAATGCCTGATAATAGGAAATACATTTTGCCACAACTCTTAAATGATAATAATAATTCTAAAATCTAATGTTCAGCAATAAAACCAGAGTTATACCAATGATGAACCATAATAATTGAGACATTTCCCACACGTTAATTGTATGCCTAACAGAATCGTATCTCTTTTTACTCAATGTTATTTGGTCATATCCAAGTAATTCTTTAGAATGAGAGGAATAGGAGATCTTTTGACAGTAATGAGAGTTTGATTTGTAGCTTTAAATGATTTGTGCTTTTCTACTTGTATTTGTGGCTTAGAGATATTTTTTCTTTCCTTATGTGGTTTTCTCGACTTTTTGGGGCAGTTGTACATCCCTGTAGATGTATAGGAGAATATACTTATTGTTTTTTCTATACATCCGGTGTACAATGTTACACCCCATTTCGTGGCACTTATTTTCTAGTAAAAATTTTACTAGGCAGGATAGGAGAATGATTGGCAGCTCACACAGGTACATATGGAAAATGAAAACTCAAGGTCAATTAGGTCATGTCATTTCACATTAATCGTTCATCGACAATGGCTACAAAGTATCTGTAAACTATTTTACTATAGTTAAATACACAACTCCGACAGTAAAATGATCAAGAATGATCAGAAAATGCTAAAACTAACAATCAATAATGCCAGAAAAAAATCAGAAAATGATAAGACCATTAATACTATGAATGGTTGATGGTGGGTGGACAAACTGTGCAGCCTTCTGGGAAGCTGCGATAGGCACTGAGCTGGTGTATGAACACCAAAGGTAGCGAGAGAGAGAGAGAGAGCAAAGCTACTAAGCTTGTCGGTGAGAGGAAAGCATTCTGGGTAGATACACTAGGGTCGCACACTAGGGTCGCACGCTTGACTGAAGAAGAAAGGTGACAAGTGGCTTCTCCTTTTTGGCCCAACAATTTGAAGATAGCAGCCACCGCCAAAGGCGTCGAATACTCAGAGGCCTAGGGGCCTCAGCAGCTACAACAGTGGTTAGGTGAGCTCCTCCACTACTCGGACATAGTCTGGAATTGTCTTACTGTAGAAATTTCTCTCTAAAAGACCGGTAAAGGCCTTATTGAAAAATGGGATGGGCCATCTTGACAAAGATGAACCCTTAACCTTAGACACCAAGTCACTAGACTCCAGTGATCACGCAAGAGGGTCACAGGGTCACAAATGTTCCATAACCGTGGCACCAACCCCAAGTTCTTACGTTCTGCACCCCAACCTAGGTAGGCTTGATAGCATTATTAGGGTACCTTGTAAAACCAAGTATAGATCGTAGGAGATGTGCGTTTTGATGTAAAACCCTCGGCTGACCCGAGGAAAGACATCGAAAGGAACACAACGAGATGAGCATGCTTAGTCGAAGAATGAGCGTGCTTGACACGTCTTGAGGATTAGTCTTGGAGGTGAGGGATGGAGGCATAAGAGGGACACACATGAGTGGAGAAGTGCTCAATCAAGTCGAGGGTGACAAGCATGTCATCTTCAAGGCAGAGAAGGCAATTCGCTTGGCCTGGCCAAAGGGTGCCCAAGCATGCCTAATCAAGCAGGTTAGGATTTGCCTCTTGAGTGTCCCTCGGCACCTAGGCATGATGCTATGTTAGCCTTAGTCAGCATAGCTCCACCATAGAGGGAAGCATGTGGAGGTACTTCATGGGTCCACATGTCATCTCAAAAGGCAGATACGTGGATCCAAGCCTTTGGAGATGATGAAACGGTGACTATGTGGCACATAGGAGAACCTACTACACAGACCCACAACCACAATAAATATAAAATGCTTTCCAACAACAACACAAAGCCCTAGGAAGAAACAAACATAAAGCACAAAACATGCTTGCAGTCCATTACCCCATGTTCGTACACCAATTCAAATAAATGTTAGTTAGAAACATGACAAACATATTCATTTAATAAACTATATGCTAATCATAAAAGGGGGAGTTTAATTGCATTGGTTGTATTCCATAGGCATTTGAACGGGCAAACAACTTCCAATCAAGTTTATGTAAAATAAGAATGACAAAAGGCTTGTCAAAGAAAGAATGAGTAATTAGATTGAAATAGCTGCAAATGAAACAATTTACTACACTTTAAAACTAAATTTATACCAATGTCATTGAGAACAAAAAACACACGTTTGAAATTGTTATGCATAACACATAAAACATATACATTTCCATAAAACTCCCCAAATAAAACCCATCACTTATCAGAAAGATGATACTACAACATTAGCCACCATAAACTACAAAAACAAGGTCCAATACAGCATCACCACAAATAAAACTAATCATAACAACAACACAGCAGCAGCATTAACTACACTCCTAGAATTTACATTGAAGTGTCTACAAACATGCCAAGACGAGCCAAACAAAAAATAAAGAAATAAAGAAAGACATGCCAAACACACCAGATCCTAGTGTAAGTGTTCTGCAACCACTCATGCAGAACCACAGAATGTGCTTTGCCATTGCAAACCCTTCCAACGATTATTTTGATATAGATTCTTGAATATCACCCAAATTTCTATCAAAATGAAAATGTTATGTCTATCACTACCCAGTCCACCAAGCAAGTTTGCATGCAACCCATTAACCAGCATGAATTGGCTATGCAGATAAATAAATGTTTTAGGGTGCTCCTATAAGAAAATGCCATGCAACTTTTAAGATGAGGCCCTAAGATCTTTCAGAAAACTAGTAATGCTGTAAGCAAACAGTAGGCTATAACGAAGGGTGCAATAAAAACCATATATCAAGGCAAGTTGAGTACTCTGATCCATGTATCCAAAGGTAAAGAATTAGGCAGATTGTGTCACAAGCTCCTCCGATTCTTTTATAGCACCTGTTACATAAAACATAAACTAATTAAAGCAACTTTTGTAAAGATAATAGATTATATTTATACTAGGATGATATGAAGTTTCCAAGTCAATAAAACCTAGAGCATAAGAATGAAAGCTCATTTAGACTATAACCTCCACATTATAATATAAGACACTTGCAAAAAGATGACAAGGGTTATGAGAAGACACAAGTGCCCCATTAGAAAATAAAAGGAATGGAAAAAAAAAAAAAATGACTTAAAAATTAAGCCAGAATTCACACTAACAACAGCATTGCATTACATAGGAATAGACCCTAATTGTTCATGATGATAGTTTCATTTATAATGATATCTGTTGCAAGGTGTACCACCCACATAAGCCACCAACTGAACAACCTAACTATCCCAAAAATGGCAGCTCTTTGCTGCAGCAGTGCAGAAGCGTCAATAAAGCAGGGTTATAGGGTGATCTTATTTTTCCCTAATCGACCATGTGCAAGTTTGCCCCAAACTGCTTCAATCAAAATTTCATTTCTTACATTTAAAGCAAAATTTACGCCTCGTTACCAATATGGTGTTGATTACTTCTCCAAAAGTGCTCCCTTTATTAGGGAAAAAGATCAAATATATGATCTGATCCTAATAAAGATGCAAAATCTTGCCATCATTTGACCATGGAAGCATGACTTCTAGTGAACAAATTATGGCGTAGCTCTGTCCAGTATCTCATTTCATCATTAATGCTTCTAGTAAAACTCAACTTTTTTTCCCCCCCCCCCCCCCCCCAAAAAAAAAAAAAAAAAATCCTCATCCTTTATTAAAAATCAAACAAAAAAAAGGAGGGACTTCAACCAAAACCCACAAAAAGCTGAATCAGAATTACATGAAATCAAACAAGAACAGCTCCAAAGACTACCGGGTAAGCATGTAACACTAACAATTCTATCAAAACAAGAAACCCCAATTCACATCCCTTTCAATTAAAAGAAATGAATAAGGAAAACTTGCAAACAGCACCCATAACTTTTTATCATATATATTTTGTCCAATTTATGTTAATTTTATATTTTGATATCATGTTTCATAGATATGGAGTAACAACCACTTATCTAGAGAGAATGATCACTCAAAAATTGTACCCAAAAATTAAAAATCCAAATTAAAAAAAAATAAAAAAAATAAAAAAGAAGAAGAAGAAAAAGACTCCAACCAAAACCCACAACAAGCTGAATCAGAATTACTTGAATCAGATATTCCAATCTTATACACCCAAACAAACAAAAAGATAATCAAGAAACAGAGAGAGAGAGAGAGAGAGAGTGCCTGTGTGAGGTTTCGAAGAAAAGCAGGAGAGAGAAGGAAGGAAGGGCGATGAAGAAAAAGCAGCTTCAGAAGAGAAGTGCTTCTTCAGTCACCCACGAACTGAAAAGACACACCCCCCACCCGAGCAAGATCCTCTCCTTGAATTCTCTCATTGGCTTCCTACTTGGTGGGCCATTGAGTTCACTTTTTGAGTTCAATTTTGATGATCCGAACCGTTCACATTTTAAAATTTATCATATATATTATATTTGTAAAACAGCTCGTCATCACGCATCCGTCCAAAATGCGGCGGATCGGTTTGGTTCGGTCGGTTTTGGCGGATCGGTATATCCGCTGCTCACCCCTACCCCCACCTGCATACCACACACAGTGCACTAGCTCTCTCTCTTCTACATGAACAAGAAAGCTATCGGGTATGGTAAACGCCGTCGTTTGTGTTGTACTTTCCTAGCCCTATTTGGGTAATCTGAAATAGACAGGGCTGGTAATGGCGCTTTAGCTTAGTTTTGGAATTCCGTCAGAAGTTGGCCTAGTTTTGGAAATACAATGTAAAAAAGGCTTATATTGGGAAAAGCCTCGCTGTAATCGTTTCTGAGTTCTTCTTAATTTTTTTTTGAAAAATAGTTGAGGGTCCGAAACTAGTGATTCGAATTCGGCTCGAAACCTAAAACGATGTCGTTTTGAGTTTCATTTATTTTATTTTATTTATTTTATTTTATTTTTCGTTTTGAACACAGGAGAAGCAGAAGCGAGAGAGCGAAATAGAGGCGAGAGGCGAGAGCTCGTCGTCTCAACTCATCGCTCGTCGGCCGATCGTCGCAGCTCGTCGACCGATCGTCGCATCGCAGCCTCGCCTCCGCCTTCGCCTCCACCTCCAACCCGATTTTGATGGCCCCTCCAGTTCAGCTTCTCCTTCTTCTTCTTCCTCCTTCTTCGCTTCTTCTTCTTCTTCCTCTTTCTTCCTTCTCAAATTCGAGCCAAATTTGACTCGAAACCCTTTCGGGCTCTGTAACGGGGCTGTTTTTTTTTTTCTTTAATGGGTGGGACCAGGGCATCAATCTATATAAAAAAGAAGGTAGTTTTTGAATTCTATGAGACTTTTGTCTCTTTGTCAAAATAAGAATCGTCAAATTAATTCAATTTAGATTTTGTTTGGGATACTCTAAAAAAATTAAAAAGCTATTATCTTATTTAAGTATAGATCTTTTGATTTATTTATTTTTGACAATTCATAAAAGAAATTTAGCATTACTTTATCCTTGGTTTTGTTTGGATTGGTTTATTCTATGGTTTTGTTTTTGTTAAGAAACACACTAGATTATATAATTTATTATTTGGTGATTTCTTAATTACTAGAAAATTTATTTTAATCTAATTTGTTAGCCCTCTTGCAGTTAGAGTAATGGAGCTTATTGCTTGTTTTCTCACATGACAATGGACATAGCTAAGACCGAGGATGCGTCAAGTCCATGGAGGGAGTGTTGGTGAACATAGTTTTAAAGCAAGGTAGCTTTATATGATAATGTCACTTAAGCTAAAATGTCCATTGGTCACATATAGATGATGGTTTTGAATTGGTTATCTTTTTTCAATGTTAATTAACTCTCAATTACATCAATCTAATAAATTTGGTTATTATGTTAATTTTATTGGGTTTATTATTTTGTTTTACTTTGTGCCCTTTTTTTTTAACATAGCGAGCTTGAATGTGCTACAAGTGTTAAGAGTATAAGATGATGTGTCATTTCAATGCTTGAGTTATTTATCTTTCAAAGTTCACTTAGCAGTTTCAAACAGTTCTCAACTTTGTTCATATAGTTTTATTAGAGAGCTTGGATGTATTACAAGAGGTTATTTATGAGATATTTAGTTGTGCTATTAATTAAGGAGGCACCGTTAATTAGTTTTGCCAGCAATGTTTAATTTAGGAGTATCGTAAGCATGAGTAATTTTCTATTTGTCATTTTAATTTGTCAAATTGTTAGAAGGCTATAGGAATTTTTTACCCTATATCACTATTTGTGTATGGACAATTTCACTAGGTGGTATTTTTAGGCAACAATTGATTTATCATTTTGAATTGATTTATTACAATTGAATTTCGTAACAGATCTGATAGCAAAAATATTGTTGGTCGTGCCTTCAGGCACAGGTTATACCTAGTCTATATAAAAAAGAAGGTAGGTTTTGAATTCCATGGGACTTTTGTCCCTTTTTCAAAATAAGAATTGTCAAATTAATTCAATTTAGGCTTTGTTTGGGGTACTCTAAAAAAGTTAAAACGTTAAAAAGTCACTATCCTATTTAAATCACGCTATCTTATTTAAGCCACATCACCTTTCTACCACATTATTTCAAAACCAATCCATATTTCATAAAAAGTCAAAAAACACACTTATTTAGATCGTCCTAAATCACCTCTTAATAGTGAATAATCTTTCGTAGTTCGAAAGTTTTTTTAGCTTGAGTGGCTTGACTAAACAAAACGACGTTGTTTTGGGCAGTTTTTTTTCCTTTTATATTCTGAAATAAATGGAGGAAGAGTAAGAAGATGGAAGAAGAGAAAAAAAAAAGAGAGAGAAGAGAGAGAGAGAAGGAACAGAGAGGAGAAAGAGGCATCACCGCCATCATCAACGCCACAGATCTGTGTATCTCTCTTTCTCTATGTGTATATAGATCTATCTTTCTCTCTCTTTCTCTTTGTTCTGAGTTATCTGGAAAAAAAAAAAAAACAGAGGATGTGGTGTTGTTTGTTGTTAATGATGATATGTTGTTGATGTCAAAACGTGTTGATGGTGATGTGGTGTTGTTGTTGTTGATGATGATGATATGCTCTCTCTCTCACATAACTCCCTCTTTTCTTCTCCTTCTCCTTCTTCTTCATCTGCAGAGAGAAAGGAAAAAAAAAACGTTTTGGGTCGTCGAGCCACTTGGGCCAAAAGAAATTCGAGCTACAAACGGAACTATTCAATAGTTAAAAAAATGTCTAAGACACAAATTATTTTTTAATAGTTGAGACTGTTTATTTATATACATCCTACGATGGATATACATTTTCTCTTTATGTTTCTTCTTCCCTTCCATAAGAAACAAATTATTTTTTAATAGTTGAGATTGTTTATTCACATACATCCTACGGTGGATATACATTTTCTTCTTATGTTTCTTCTTCCCTTCCATCCCTTTCTCTTCAGCTAATGCTCTCTCTCTCTCTCTCTCTCTCTCTCTCTCTCTCTCACATACACACATTCAAAATTCAAAGTTGTGTTGTCTCTCTTATCTTCCACTCTCACTCTATGTTTGGAAACCTAGGAGAGAAAAAAAAAAGAAAAAGAAATGATTACTTAAGTTATAAGAGAAAATAAAAGAAAAGAAATATTTGTGATCTTTCTCATTCTTGTTTGGATAAGTAAGAAATAAAATAAAAGAAATGATTGCGATTTCTCTCTTTCTTGTTTGGTTAGATTTCATAAGAGAAAAGAAAAGAAACCGTTTTATGTTATATTACCAAAATAACTTTTTTATATTTTGAGGGTATGAATGTCAATCATTTTATATTTTTTATTTTTACAGTGACAAAATTGATATTATGAAAATATAAGAATCTGTTGGTTTCTTTTCTCTTCCAATCTCTCCACTTTTGGAAAGATTGAAGATGATAATTATAAGAGAAATGGGATCTCTCTATTTCTCTTAATTTCTCCCTATTTCTCCTCATTTCTCTCCACTTAAATTATTCAAACAAGTGAGAGACTCTATTTCTTTTTTTCTCTCTCCGAATTACTCAATCCAAACATAGTGTCAGAGCTTACTCTTCATCTTCAATCTCACTAGCAATGGTTACAGCCTCACCCCTATTAGTCACTCATTCTCCCAAAAACCTAATACATATCAGATTAGTGACTTCGCAGATGGTGGGTTTGATGGGTGCTAGCCTTGCTAGATCGGTGTCTAAATCGGCGACATCGCGGCAACAGATCGGAGGGGAGGATTTTCTTGACCTTAATCATCGATTTCTCAATGCTCAATAGGTCAAATTTCTCTCTCTCTCTCTCTCTTTCTCTCTCTCGCTCTCTCTCTCTCTCTCACACACACACACACATACACACTCACAGTTTCTTCAAGTCAGATTATGGGGGATTAGAAGCCAAATCAGTAGAGTTTTCTTTGCAAAGTAAAGGTGATACTCTCATCTCTTTCTTACTTAATAGATTATTGTGTATATATATATTGATTACAGATTTTTTTTTATTATTATTATTTTTTGTTTTGTATATATTGATTACAAAGATCATCAATTGATCAGAGTGGAATAGAGAAAGAACGATTCCCAAAATCAAACTGTGAGTATTGTTTTTATTTAATTTTCTAGATGCATGTATGATTTTGGATATACTTTTATGGGACTATTGTAT